GGGGGGGGGCGGACGCGGGGATGCGGGAAGGGAAGAGTGTATTGGGGCGGCATCCTGGCGAAGAACTCTGTTCACCGTCTACGCTCGGGAGGGATACACCACCGACATTGGTGACGAGGCAGACATGGAGAGAGTGCGCAGAATCTGATTAGCCGCCGACGGGCTCCAGTCGCATGTCAACCTCGAGCGGCCGCTTAATCGAAGGTAGTCTTCCAGGATCGGCCGAGCTACGCAAGCGGAACAAGGCAAAGCGAGCCAAGCAGCGGCGTAGCCTCGACAGGCAGTGTAGATTCGTCCCCGCCAAGATCCAGAGGCTGGTCCACGAACTTGACTGACCCCATCTTTAAGACAGCATGCGAATTCGCAAAATATCGCCCGTCTGCAGTACGGTGATGGATTTTCTCAAACCCGTCGAAAACACAAGTGCGTTGAAAATACACTATCTACGTTGATAAATCAGAGCGAGACAAGGGGGGAAAGGACAGGAGGAGATTTAGAGATGGACTTTTCCGTCCTCGATGCTCTTGTAGTGTTCGGGGAGGAAGGGTTGGTATGCGTCTGCGTTGGGGGGCAGCCAGTAGAGCTTGTCTTCGCCACAGAGGTTGTGTTGGATGCCCTGGTTTCGGAGCTGAACTTTTTGCTGCTTGACGGTTCCGGTTTGTTCCATGTTGGGGACGATGCGGATGAAGAGGGGGACGGCGTATTTGGGGAGCGACTTGCGCACGGTAGCGGCGAGGAGCTTGAAGTCGAGATCCTGGGCGTATTCTGCGGGGATGGCAGCGCAGCCTGCACGGCCGTCGTGTTTGGGGACGAGGACACCGTAGACGTTGGCTTCGCCCACGACTTCGCCGAGTGCGTTGGCGACTTCGGTGGTGGAGACGTTTTCGCTCCTCCATCGGAAGGTATCGCCCATACGGTCACCAAAGTAGAAGAAGCCATCTGCATCCTTGGTCATGAGATCGCCACTGCGGAACCAGGCGTCGCCCTTGGCAAGCGCATCCTTGAGCAGCTTCTTGTTGGTGGCTTCCGGGTTGTCGGCGTAGCCCTGGAACTTGGAGATGGAGGTGTTGCCGATGCGCATGACAAACTCGCCCGCCTCGCCATGAGCACACTCTACGCACAGGCCCGTTTTGGGGTCGCGGTAGATGTCCTCGGTGATCGGGTCGACACGGATGATCTTGAAGTCCGGACGCAGCTTTCTGGCGAGTGTACCCAGACGGCCGACGGCACCGGCACCAAAAGGACCGGTGTTGTAGTTGATGAGCGCACCGTTACCTTCGGACGAGGCAAAGAATTCCGAGATGGTGCGGACGCCGTAGCGGTCCCTGAACTTGTTCCAGACGTCGGGGCGCATTCCGTTGCCGTAGGCCATGCGAACTTTGTGCTGCTTGTCGAGGGGGGAGGGCGGCACGGCGAGGAGGTAGCGTGCAATCTCGCCAATGTACTGGACGACGGTGGCGTCGTACTTGCGCACCTCGTCCCAGTACTTGCGTGCGGAGAACTTGCGACCGATGATGACGGTGCTTCCGGAGCAGAGGGAGGCGCAGATGCAGAGGAAGAGCGCCGACGAGTGGTAGAGGGGCATGGGCGTGTAGATGCGATCCTTGGGGCCGAACGAGTTGAAGGTGGGCCAGACGCTGACGGCGGTGCCCATCCTTCCGTGCGAGCAGAGTGCAGCCTTGGGCAGGCCGGTGGTGCCACTGGTGTAGATCAGTGCGGCGGTGGTCGCCTCCTGCACATCCTTCCTGTACTTGTCCGGAATCCTCTTGGGCGAGTACTTCTCGAGCTCGGCGGGACCAAAGGCGATGACCTTCTGCAGCGGCTTGGCTACCTGTGCAGGTGGCTTTTCGGCATCACCGTCGAGAGGCGTGAGGCCGTCGTCGTACCTGAGAAAGTTCTCGATGGGCGACTTGGCGAGCAGCTCGTCCTGAACGTCGGCAATGGGACCCTCGAGGTATGGCTCGTAGACGAGCAGCTTTGCGCGCGCGACCGAGACGCAGTGGACGAGACCCTTTCCGGTGAGCGAGTTGTTGATAAAGGCGGGCACGACGTTGATGCACATGCAAGCAAAGAACCACTCGAGGATGGCGACCGAGTTGCCCATGAAGATGGCCACGCGGTCGCCCGCCTTGAAGCCGCGCGAGAGGAGGTAGTTGGCGAGGCGGTGGACGTCCTTGGCGACCTGGCCCCAGGTGAAGTTTTTGCCGAGATAGACGTAGGCGATGGCGTCGGGACGCTTCTGGGCCTGGTTGTCAAAGTACTCGTAGAGCGAGAGTTTGTTGCGCCAGGTGCGATACTTGTGCCTCCATTCGCCGACGGATGCGCCGCGACCGAGCATGAGGTCGTTGGCGAGGCCGTGCTTGGCATCGAGGTATGCGATGGCGGCGAACGAGGCCGCTGCTTTGGCGATGGCAGCCATGATGTGTGTGGAGCCGGAAGGAGGTGCGGATGGGTGGAGGAGGGTGATCAGCTATCCAGACGGAAGGAAGAAGGGAGGAGGAGGATGTCCGCGAAGGATGTGCGAGGTGCGACACGGCCCCGAGTGACGTGGGCAAAGTGCGGACGCGGACGGTGCTCTCGAACGGCATACAGAGTATGGAGTGCGGATCGAGTGCGGAGTGCGTCGTGCCAAGGTGGGCATGGAGCTGTCCCGCAGTTGGCCGGCCCAAGCGAGCGCCTATGGATTGGAAAAGAGGCGTTTGAAAGCGACTTTGCTGCCCCGCGTTTGGCAGGCAGGCAGGCGGTGAGCGAGCGTGTGCTTCTCGACAGTCGCCGTTGGCCGTCGCAAAGTGGAGGCGATTTTTCCGAGCTGCGATGCCTCGTCGTGGATTTTTGGCAGAGGTTGAAAGCCTTCGACCGTCGACCGCCGAGTCTCTGCTCTGCCTAGATGCATGTCTCGTCGATCCAAAAATCCCACTCCAGTCGGCCACTTTTCACGCACACTTGCCGAGTGCATCTTGTGGGGTCAGGGCGGTGGATCCCTGCGCTGGGCCGCTGCGCTTCGCCAAAAGGTCGCCACCACCAAGCTACTGTATCGGCAGCTATCTCCTGTATCTCCCTCGCGCCGCATCCTACATCTCGCTCGCCTGCAGCATCTGCTCCGGCTGCTCCCGCTCCAAGACAGCTTGGATCGACAGAGCGGCGCCCCGCTTTCTTCCAGGCGCACCGCACAGCTGCGCACTCGCCAACTCGCAACTTGCAACCCACCGTCGAAGCATGGCGCTCAACTGGGTGACGCTCGGCCAGGACGGCCGCTCGCCGCTGCCGCTTCCGGACGAGACGGTGCTGTGTCGTGTGCCCAAATCATCCATACAGTGAGTCGTCCAGCCATAAATCAGCGTACTCATGCTGTGCAGAGAGGGTGTGTGTGTTGACCATCGAGTGCTTGTCCGGACAGGCTCGAATATGCATCGCGCGGCATCACGTACAAGGCCGAAGGAAGTGCCTTGATCTCGTCGCATCGCGTACGTCTCTCTCTTCCCGTTCTCGTCTCCGTATGGCAGAGCATTTGACCTTTACATCCACCCTTCGCCCCCGCTTGTGCAGTTCGTCTTTGTCCGTGATTCGCGGGGCGCCGCTTCCGAATCCGAGCTCAAGTCGCTCTCGGTACCCATCGACCATCTGGCAGCATCAAAGTATACCATCCCCATCTTCAGCGCGCCGTACCTGCAGGCCGATGTGTACTCGGTCGCCCAGGGCGGACTGCCCGAGCGTCGACCGGGTGAAGAAGCTCATCCGGTCGGCAAGCTCAAGCTTTGGTTCGTCGAGGCCGGCGGCGTCGCTTTCCGAGACGCCATCGAAAAGGCACGTCACATGTGGCAGCAAAACAGACAGCAACAGCTCGACCAGGATGCTCTTCGTATGTGTTCAATGGTGCACGCTTTGGCAATGTGGGCAAGCAGGCTGACCCGTTCCGCTCTTCTTTCTACCCATCAAAGCTGCCTACGAGCCACCGGCAAGCTGAGCATTCAGAAGCAATCGGAATGCCACTTGGAGCAAAGAGTCGTCCGGAAGAGCCACTGAGGCGCGGCTGAGCATGCGTGAGGGAAGTGGAGAAGCCCGATCGGGTCGGGTCAAGGATCGCCGATTCGAGCTCGGAGTTATTCTCGGCGCCAGCCATTATTCGCCCCGCCGACGCCTTCCAGCCACTCGAAAATTGCTGGGCCGATCCAGGGCGTAGAAAAAGACCGAGCAATTCTCCGACGAGTAGCGTACTGGTCCCCACTGCGGCCGCATCCCCTTTCGACTGCCGTTCACCTCCACCAACTCGATGCCTTGCGATGCTCGATCGCGCGCGGTCTGTGCACAAGCACCTCGTCTCATCTCGGACATAATACTGGCCTACTGGCTGTTGTGGGTAGCCGAAATTAATCGAGGCCGAGCAATGCAACCATGACTTGACGGCGGTTGTCGCAATCCGAGTCATAATCAACTGCCCCAGACACCGAGTCACGACTACATCGCGAGGATAGCGTGAGAACGTGATGCTATTCAACGCGCGTGTTCCTGGCCGTGCAATCCACCGAACATCATCATGCTCTCACCACCGTGGGCAAGCCTCCGCAGCCTAGCGGCGTCGAGACGTGGGGTCGGCCTTGATGGGTGGGCTTCATCTTGTCCTGCAGTTCATCGAGGTTGGCATTCGTGGCAATTGCCAAGGCGGAACGACTTTGCACATGCGAATCGAAAGTGTCAAGGGTCTTGCATTGCACCCACCCACCAAGCCGGTTGCCAATTGCCGTCGGAAGTGGCGAGCAGGATGACTCTCAACACGTCTGTCGGCCTTTTGGCCGGCCTTTGCGGGCTCAGGTCAAGGCTGGCACGGCGCGTGGCTGTCCCGTTCGGGTTCGGCCCAACGTCAAATGACGCAGCGCACCCACCCATCGCCGCCTGCTCCTCGAAATTCCAGCCAAGTTTTTTTGTCGGTTTCGCGGCGGGGTTTTTTTTCGCACCGGATGCGCGGTGGAGTGAGAGTCACACCGCGCTACACCGTCCAACAGCCGTGTGACAGGGCCATAAAGGAACATAGCCGACGGGGACTACTCGCGCTATGGTGCTTTGTGCGACCCCAATGCCAGACTCCTTGGCCCCCGTCCTTCTCGACTACCTCCTATCCCTATCCCAATCCATAGACGCCAGCTCCATATATTCCAGCGACGTTGATTCCGCACGCGCGGCTGCTTCCCACACCAAACCACATCGCCGTGACATGCTACCCTCCACCGCTTCCGGGTAATCTTCTCCACCATGTCTTCGCAAAGTAGAAGCAGCAGTCAGCATCGTCCGCACCAGGCGCCCGAATATCTCGGCGCTGACCAGCCTCAGCTCTCGCTCCAACCGCCTTCGACCTCGCAACCCCCCTCGCGCCATGCCTCGCCGCCGTCATCATTAAAAGCGCGCTCCTCGTCCACTTCAGTCACACGACTCGGTTCGTCGGACCACCTCGCGAAGTCCTCCGCCTCGACGGCACCCAAACGCACGCGTGACAATGCTCCGTCCAGCTCCGGCTCCTCGTCGCGTTCGTCCATAGACAACGAAGAGCACGCCGACCTTCCCGGCCCACTCCCCACCTCGCACGCGCTGCAGCCACTGGCTTCGCGTCTGACGCGCTCCGACTCGCGTCCCAAGGCCACCCAACCCACCGATCCCGCCATTGCAGGAAGGCCGCGCTCGGCTTCCAATCGATCCGTCTCGTACATCGACCCAGCGAATAAGCCGTCCGACCTCGCACGCGCCTCGTCCCGCGTCTCGTCCATACACCGATGCGCGGACCCGCACTATCCGGCATCCGCACTCGCCCTTACGCTCACCAAGTCCGAGGACCCGGACGCCGTCTACATTGACTGGCCCGAAAACGATCCCGAGAATCCGTTCAACTGGCCCAAGTCTCGACGCTGGCTCCTCGTCTCCGTGTGCTTCCTCTTCACCGCCTGCACCGCCTTCAACGGTTGCGGCTACCCCTCGGCGTCCTTCAATGCCGCCCAGGACCTGCGCACCACCCAGCTCGTCTATCTCGCCGGCAACACCGCCTTCCTCTTTGCCGTCTCCATCACCCCGCTCGTCCTGGCGCCGCTAAGCGAGGTGTACGGTCGCAACCCCATCTATCTCTCGGCCGTGCTCCTTTTTACGCTCCTCTACATCCCTCAGGCACTCGCCAAGAACATCACCACCATCATCGTCGTCCGCTGGTTCCAGGGCATGGCCGCCAGTGTCGGCAACTCCATGGTCGCAGGAAGCGTCTCCGATGTCTTCCACGCCAGCGAACGTGGCTTCCCTATGTCGCTCTACGCCATTGCTGTGTACATCGCCCAGGGCGTGTCGCCATACATCTCGTCCGTCACGGTCAACCGCGCCAGCTGGAGGATCATGTTCTGGTGGCAGGGTGCGCTGGCGCTCTTGACGTACGTGCTCATGTTTGTGTTCCTCAAGGAGACGCGCGGGCCGGTTCTGCTCAGCAGACGCGCCAAGAAGCTCACCAAGGAGACTGGAAAGCTGCACAAGTGCCGGGCGGATGACGAGAGGCTCAACTTCCTCGTCATGGTCAAGGTCTCGCTCGTGCGACCGATGCAGTACTTGCTGTTCGAGCCCGTCGTGCTCAGCTTTGCGCTCTGGATCGGATTCCTGTGGGGCATCATCTTCATCTCGCTCGAAGCGATTCCGATCGTGTTTGCCGGCTACGGATGGAACGCCGAGCAGCAGCATATGGCGCTCCTCACCATTGCGGTGGGAGGAACGATCGGCTACTTGGTCAACTTCCACCAGGAAAAGCTCTATGCCGCCACCGCACGCAGGTACGGTGGAAAGCCGCCTCCGGAGGCCAGGCTGTACTACGCCGCGGCTGGTGCAGTCTTGGCCCCCATCGGGCTGTTCATCTTCGCCTGGACGGGCCGTGTCGGGATTTCGCCCGCCGCTCCCATCATTGGGCTGACCATCTTCAATCTGGCGCTGTTCCCGGTGTACTTGGCGGTGTTTTCGTACCTTGCGGATGTGTACGAGCGATATGCGAGCAGTGCGCTTGCAGCGCAGAGTTTCCTGCGCAATACCTTTGCCGCCTGCTTCCCGCTGTTTTCGCAGCAGATGTACGAGAAGCTCACGCCCAAGTACGCCTCGACGCTGCTGGCGGCGATTGCGTGCGTGCTGGGCGTGGTGCCGTTCGTGCTGATCAAGTACGGCGACCGTATCCGCAGCCACAGCCGCGCCGCACTCGCGCTCCAGAGGGAGGAACAGGAGGCCGCCGAGTGGAGACAAGCCGAACAGGGCAAGCAGGCAAGGAGGGAAGCCAGGAGACTGGCCAGGGCCGCCCGTCAGGCTCAAGTCGGCAGCGCAGAGGTTGACGAGGAGAAGATCCTCGATACCACCGACGGCGAAGAGTCGGGCGCCGTCACGCCCGATGCCAAGGTCGACGCGTCCCAGGACTGCGACAACTGCAACAACCCCAACTTCCGCCCTCCCACCAGCATTTTGTAGACATCTCATGCATTCATATTGAAAAGGGTATCAATGCGTGATCGCGTGTGTATGTGGTCGAGGCGCTGAAAAGGAGACGGAGATGCGATTGACAGGCTCAAAAATGGCTGTCCCTCGACGAAGCTCAACGCCCACTCTGCACGCTCGACTGACACGCTCGACTGACACGCTCTGCACCACATGGTCTTGATTTTGCGTCAACATTGCTGATCCACTGCGACTCGAACATGACTAGAGCTGCTTGCCCTCCTTTGCTGGCTTTGCAGCATTGGCTCGGAGTGTAGCCTTCTTGTGCTCGACACCAGAAGCCTCTGCTCGCAACTTCTTGTCGCCGTCGTCCTTGGCGTCCTTGTCGTCCTTACCATCCTTGGCGTCCTTGTCGGTCTTTTCGAGAGTCTGGCCGAACTCGTTTCTGCGCGTAGGATCGACGCCGTAGACCCACCTCTGGTAGAGGGCGATGAAGAAGACGACGTCGTCGCGGAAGCACGCGAGGCGGTGGAGCGTGGGCATCTTGATGCAGAAGGCAAACAGGTCGTCGACAAACGTGCCCAGGATCTTGTACACGAATGTGCGGCTGTTCATGCCCGCGGTCGACTTGAGCTTGTAGTTGACGATGAGCTGGGGCACCAGTCCGACGAACCCAAACGCGTAGACGAACGAAGTTGCCGTGCTGATGATGAACGACCACCATCCACGGTGCGTCTGGTATACGGCACTGTACGCCGTATAGCAGACGAGCAGCGGTCCGACCACGAGGCCGACGTACTTGAAGGCAAGTCGGTCGTACTCCTGCGTGCGTCGTTCTTCGTCCGACAGCACATGCTTGTCCGAAATCTTGAGCCTGTACCCGACCAGCGAGGTGGACGAACGCTCCACCGCAACCGTGACCGCCTTGGTGAGTTTCCAGCACTCGATCAACACGCCGATCGCCTGGCCCGCCAGAATCATCCAGCTCGTGTCTTCGTTGTTGTCGAGCAGATAGAGCGTGATGATGAGCTGCACCACGATGTTCGTCACGATGCTGCCCACCGACACGCCCGCCAGGTCGTCCTTGTTCTTCCAGTGGCGCACGTCCGACGAGAAGGCGAGGAACTCAAACAGGCTGTGCAGGATGCTCACTGCGACCGTGAGCGCCAGGAACCACGGATTCGTCTCGAGCAGCATCGTCTTGAGCATGTCGATCTCGCCGCCCGTGACGCCGGCCTGCTTGTCGAACGAGTCGCCGAGCGCAGCGAGCATCTGGAAGCGGAACCACGACGGATGGTACACGTGGATGTGCAGCGGCAGCTCGGTCAGCGTCTCGTTCACCGCGTACATGTGCTCCTTGAGCGCCCAAAAGTCGTTGGCGAACACGGTGGGGAAGCGCAGCACGTTGGGCGGTCGTCCAGCTGCATATGCGCGCTGCAGCGCCACTGCTGCCGCAGGCTCGGTCGGTTCAGGCGCGGGCACCATGTTGCCATCGGCATCGCGCACGACGGCTACGTGCTGCAGAAGTGG